ACAATCCTAACTGGACTTCAAAATTGATTATTACTTTCTTTAGTTTGTCTAGGGGACTGGACGTTTCGAAAGGAGAGCTCATTGTGCAATCTTTCTTTTTTTACTTTTTCCATTATCCCTCAGAACCCAAGGAGAACAGGGAACTCATGAAAAAAAATAATAATAAGGACAAAAGAACTTCAAAATCAGAGACTACCAGCATCAGGTTTGAGAATATGAAGACTTAAAAAAGAGGAAGGTTTGGATTAATCTCTTTTGGCTGTATAGCATGATGATTAAGAGGATAGAATTTGGAGTTACACAGAAGTTTGTCTCAGTTCTGATTTGAGCCTTAGTCTCTTCATCTGCAAAAGGGAGATGATGCCTTTTGGTACTTGCTTCATATATTGTTGTGAGCATTAAATGAGATAATGTAAGTGCTTAACGTGTGTTAACTAGTATGAAGTCCATATAGGTATAATCTTCATAAGACATTTTCTTTTCCAACAAACCTACCCAAAGGACTGTTTTTTTTTTTTTTTTTAGACAGAGTCTCACTGTGTTGCCCGGGCTAGAGTGCCGTGGCGTCATCCTAGCTCACAGCAACCTCAAACTCCTGGGCTCAGGTGATCCTCCTGCCTCAGCCTCCCGAGTAGCTGGGACTACAGGCATGCGCCACCGTGCCTGGCTAATTTTTCTATATATTTTTAGTTGTCCAATTAATTTCTTTCTATTTTTAGTAGAGACAGGGTCTCGCTCTTGCTCGGGCTGGTTTCGAACTCCTGAGCTCAAACAATCCGCCCGGCTCGGCCTCCCAGAGAGCTAGGATTACAGGCGTGAGCCACTGCGCCTGGCCTCCAAAGGACTGTTGCTCTCCAAAGTTAAAAACTCATGAAGCCACAATTTTGTTCTGAGATACTGTCATTTTTCAGAATAAGTTCAAATTGCATTATAAGGCCAATTCGTAAACCACATAAGAAATATGTTCTCATCTTATATCACCGTTGGCTTTGGACCCTAAGTAGTATTTTCTAGCTTATTCATCAAATTGATCATAATTATTTTTTTATTTTTATTGTTTTAGAGACAAATTCTTGCTCTGTTGCCCAGGCTGGCATGCAGTGGCACCATCATAGTTCACCATAGCCTTGAACTCCTGGGCTCAAGCGATCCTCCCACCTAAGCCCCGCCCTGAGTAGCTGAACTACAGGCTCACACCACCTCGCCCTACTAGTATTTTTTTTTTTTTTTTAGTTTTTAGAGATGGAATTTGTTTTTATGTTATGGAGATGAGGTCTTGCAGTGTCACCTAGGCTGGAGCGCAGCAGCTGGATCATAGCTCACTGCAATCCTGAACTTCTGGGCTCAAGCAATCCTCTTACCTCGGCCTCCCGAGTAGCTGAGACTACAGGCGTGGGCCACTATGCCTGCCTAATTAAATAAATTATTTTAGAGATGAAGTCTTGCTATGTTGCCCAGGCTGGTCTCAAACTCCTGGCCTCAAGTGATCCTCTTGCCTTGGCCTCCTGAGTAGCTGGGATTATAGGTGTGAGCCACTGGTGACCAAAATGATTTTTGACTGATAAAAATATGTATATTCTACAAGTGATGAATCTGCCAACACTGAGATTGTAATTGAAAAATAGCATGGTGAAGTAGCTTTGTAGTTAGTTACACAGGCCTGTGTTTGAGTCTTAGTTCAGCTGTGTGGCCTGCCTTTGGGCAAATGTTTTAACCTCTGTGAGCCTTATGTCCTCAATAAAATGGGATAATATTACTGAGGTTTCAGTCTCCACATAAGGATTAGCAATAGGATATGTAGAACACGCAACACACATTAGGAGCTCAAAAATGGTAGCGATTACTGTTTACAATAATGTGCCACTAAGATGGAAATGCACTTTCTTTCCATTTTAAAATGGTTTTGATAAATTTGAGAACTAGAATGGAATTCAACCAGCCACCTCAAAGATAATCTTCAAAAGAAAAAATGCTACAAAAATGATGATAAAGTAGGCATGCAATTAGATCTTGGGGTAAGTAGATTACAAGTTTTTGCAAGTTATCCATATGGTAATTTATTTTGTTACAAGTATATAGAGGATTCTTGGCTGGCCGTGGTGGCTCACGCCTATAATCCTAGCACTCTGGAAGGCTGAGGCGGGTGGATCGTTTGAGCTCAGGAGTTCAAGACCAGCCTGAGCAAGAGCGAGACCCCGTCTCTACTAAAAACAGAAAGAAATTAGCTGGACAACTAAAAATATATAGAAAAATTAGCTGGGCATGGTGGCACATGCCTATAGTCTCAGCCACTTGGGAGGCTGAGGCAGAAGGATTGCTTGAGCCCAGGAGTTTGACGTTGCTGTAAGCTAGGCTGCTGCCACGGCACTCACTCTAGCTGGGGCAACAGAGTGACACTCTGTCTCAAAAAAAAAAAAAGAATAGAGGATTCTTGGCTCCTAAATGTCAGCAAGGGTTGGTTGCTGATGGCCTTTCCACTAACATTCTACACAATAGTATTTCTTTAGTATTTCCTCATTTCTTTCTCCTTTATTCTTTCCTATATTGTTTCCTTTTTCTCCTTTGCCTTGCCTGTGCCTTTGAATTGTGGTTTGGATGGCTTATCCCTGTTAGTGGCAAGTGAAGGCATTCTGAAGAGGCTGAATTGATATAATCTTATCTGAGGAATAGACTAAATGTTTCTTTTAAGCATCATGAAAAAGACAAGCAAGACAGATTAATCTAAGAATCCCATAAGGAGGTTTGATAATTTTAAACATTCGCTATTACAGGTTGTAAGTAGTACAAGTCAAAGCTTCAATTTGTATATCCTGGTGTCCTGTAATTGTTAAGAAGCAAAAGCATATTCACTGACATACCAGCTCATACCACAGATTTGGTCTGTGACAGGCAAGGGTTGTGGAAGGGCCTGAAGTTAACTAATTTCAAATGATTAGGGGTATAGCCGGAGCTTCCCTCAGCAACCCGTTTTATTATGTTTATACTGGTCCTACCTTGTCAGGTAGAATATAAGCCATTAGAGGACAGTGATTGTGTTTTGTTCATTTTCTGTTCCCTACTCTTAACTCAGTGATTTGTCTGTAGAGGGCAATAAATTATTTGTGGAACATTGAATCCATGAATACCTATATCTATACAGTAACTTTTTTGGTGGCTATTCTTTCAAATAAAAAAATCAAGATATATGGTCTGAAGAGGTGGAATACCTATGAGGACTATGTGGCAGAATATATGAAATATTATCTCAAAAAATATTGGGTAAAAATGGACTTAAAAGGAGTTTCTGAATGGAATTCAAGGGTCCTTCAACTTAAATGAAAAAAAAAATAACATCTTGGTTTACTTATGTCTAAACGAAATTTAGCATTCTTTCCCCATTGTGAATGTAGGCAACAAATTAGAATTAGTAATACCTTTCAGTCTGTCACCAACAGAAATCATTTTCATTTCACTTTATTATTGTAATGGATTTCTTGAAATATCACTTTAAAATTTTCAGTATTAGACTCGCTGCAAGATGTTAATATTTAATGTTAATAAAGAAAAAGATTACTATATCACGAATTTATTTTTAAAATATATTTTCTAATTGTATTTCAATATAAATGGTTTCATTTGTAATGCTACATATTTTATTTTATGCACTTAAACTGAGAGGAGATCCTGGCTTTTACCAGACTTTCAGATGGCACAAAACACATGAAGAATGCGGGAGCTATAGGCAGATTTATGTGAAGCTAATAAAGTTCAAGGTCTCTCACTTTTACAATGCCCTGCCAAGACTCTTCCTAAATTTGTATTTGTCATATTATTTTTCTTAAAGATCCCAGCATTTTTGTTAAGTTTCACACCCCATAACACAAAACTTGGATTTAAACTTGGATTTAGCTTCGACTGGGCACATAGTAGTTTTCAAGAATTAGATTTTTGGTTTGTAGGTTCTAAGAAATTAAATGATCCTCGAGTGCATCTGGAAATCCTGCAGACCACCGCTGGACCTCCTCCACTCCCAAGGAGGCGCGGGCGTTAGGCGGGTAGGGGTGCGGGTGGGAACGGCTGGCTCTACAAAAGTAAATTAGGTTTCTGCGGGATGAGATAGGTTTGGACTAAGGCGAGTACAGGGAACAAATCACATGGAAGGTGAGAAATAGGTTTAGGAATAACAGGAATTAGTCTTCTTTGGGAATTACCCCTTTTCGCCCCGCACAGTTCTTTTGGTTCATAGATGGGACTTACCTGCTTTATCTACTTCATGAATATTAATTAGCTCTAAACCCTGTGAGAAAAGGTCTCTGCTCTGTCGTTTGTGTTACACATTGCTCTTGAGTCTTTACCAATTTAGCGATTTCTCTCACACTCTGCGTTGCCACCAACGATGTGTGCAAGGGAGCCAGGGAAGGAAAGAAGCAGTTTTCCGATCCTTCCACGGGGTGATTTTCTATACACAATCCTCCAGCAAAACGAGGAGCCAAATTATCTTTAAGTCGTGTTCTAACTAGAGCCAAAAGATGACCTGCAGAGAGGCCCGAACGCGTGGCGCAGGGCGTGTCGGGGGGGAACGCCGGCCGCCGCGGCGCGAGGGAGGACTCGGGCGAAGCGACACCGGCGACCGAACCGGAGCGCCATGGCGGAGCGCGGCCGGCACGGACCGTAGGGGGCGGGGCTCTGGAGGCGGCCACGCGGCACGAGGCCTGGATTTTCGGCCTTGCACCGGCGGCAGACGACGAGGGAGGAGCCTCGACCACCCAGGGCCTGGTGCCCCCCAGCCTCGCCGCCACCAGGGGCTCCCACCACAGACCCCTTTGTGTGCCTACCCCCGCCCCGGAGGCACCCCAGCCAGCGGCGCTGAATACCCTCATTGGCTCAGCCGACAGCTTCATCAATTGGCTCACGAGTCGTCCGGCATGGTCCACTTCACCTCGCTACAATTGGTCGCCTGAGCTGCCTGTCAGACCGCCTCTCGCACTGATTGCCCCGCAGTTCGGAGTCCCTGGAAGCAGTTCCGGGAAACCCCGCGTGCTGCCGGGATCGCGTCTGTGTGCATGAGGGGGGGAGGGGGTGGCGCGCGCGCCATTTCTAGTCGTTTTCAAAGCGCCTCGCGCTGATTCTCACGGGCCCGGCCGCCGGCCCCTTCTTTGCTCGGGTGAGTCTCGCGCTGGCCCGTGGGGGGAGGGGCCGGGAGCCCCGATCCGACCCGACTCGGCCCGGCCCAGGCTCCGCGCCTTGTCCCCAGTTTCGTTTTCGCTCCGAGGCCCCGGGGTGGGGGCGGGGATGGGGATGGGGATGGGGATGGGGATGGGTTGGGGGCGGCTTTGGCCTCGTCCGGCCGCGCAGCTGTGGGCCTAGCCCTGCTGAGGCGCCTTCTCACCCTGCTCATCCTCCCCCTCGCTCCTCCAGCCTCCAGCCCCCAGCCCACAGTCCGGCCCGCGGAGCGCTCTCCGCGCGGCCTGCCGGAGCCGGTAGTGCTTTTCCCGCCTCCGTCCGCCTCCCCATGCGGCCGGGTCGGGCGAAGGGCCTGAGGCGCCCACGGCGCTATTGCTTCTCCCCGCCGGATCCGCTTCGCTCCCGTCTCGGCCGGCCTAGCCACGAGTGGGATGTGTTGATAATCGGGACGGGCCACAGGGGGTGGGGTGGGCGGAGGGCGGGGTGCAAATCCCAGGGTTACCTGAGCCGAGAGAAAACTTTTGTGTGAGTAGAAGCCGATAAGGCCGATTTGTGTGGGAAGCCTCCCTCCCCTCCCCATTCTGCATGCTGCGAGCTGAGATTTGAAGGAAAAAATGACTACTAGAGGCCGTGAAACTTAGGCTTCAAGCGGCGCCTGAGATGTATAATGCTAAGAATGTCGTAGGCGCATTAAATTGGAAAGGCGATTCTTTTTCTTATACGGCAGTAACCGTATTTCCAAAATTTAAAAATTAAAGCCAAGGGGTTCTTAAAAGATTCAGTCCTTTCACACTACCTGTTGGAGATTTTTGCTGTCCAAGAGGCTGAATTTATGTCTCATGAGTCAGTCGTAGGGTAAGGGCTTGATACTCCTAAGCCGTGAGGTAACCGTTAGTTTTCATTTCGTTGGTTCTTTTAAAGCCTCTTTTAAAGTCTCTTAATACGAAGAATTTACACAGAGGTTCAGAAAAAGTCGAGGAGCTAGTGTGACTTCCCAAATCTCCCAGCAGCCCTTTAAAATCTTTAAATTTCTCCTTTTTGCAAAAATGTTTAGATCAAATGACTCCAATTGCATTAGTATATTTGCTGCATCCAGAAATATGGTTTGGCTGTGTGGCATTGTGTTGAATTGACATGAGTTTTAAATGGTCTCATATGAAATAAAAGTCTTTTTTAAATGAGCATTTTGTATTTGGCTTGAAGAGATAGGTTTTTCCTTGATCTGAGAATTTTATTTTCTGGAATCTAATTATTTTATGTTTTTTGTTAAACTTTACAAACTTTTTGAAAATTTTAACCAATTTCAATATCAACTTGTAGAGCCTTTGCAATGAAATGGTGGTCATAAATATTTCTGTCTTGTGCTTAATACACAACTTATCTTTTTGCTTTACACACTTAAAAAAAAAACCCCACCTTAACAGATATTCATTGAACTTTTCTGTTAAAAATTTGCCTCTTTTCTGTGACTAATAGTATTCTCAGGTGCAATGCTATGAGGGTCTTGTGATACTGAGAACTTTTGAGTTCTGTTGATCTTAAGGTAGTATTTGGGGGTGGGGGAAGCATGGAAAAACAGAACTATATGTTCATAAAGATATTTTGGCTTTTAGGATGCATCTTTATAGAAATAGGTTGTGTTAATCAGTAAACGTGTTCATCTCACACGATGTAGTTTCTTGATCAAAAGTGTGCCAGTTTCTAATGTTTCCGTTTGTGCTAGTTCATCAGAATTTGAGGCTTGCCTTGAAAAACATTTATCCACCCAGAGTTTAACCACAGTCTGCGTCTATATACACATTAGAGGGCTATCAAGTCTTTATGTTTTGCAATCATGAAAAAATCATAATATCTCTTATTTTCTAAAGTAACCCTTTCTGCATATTCCTTTCTTCTTCCTACTCTCTATTACCTCCTTCTCTTGGTCTTCCTTCCTTTTTCATTAACTTCAACTAAATATAAGTGGACTTTGAAATGCAACGTTGTTTTAAGCCAGAAAACTGCACCTGGTGCATTTGCACAGTGTTTGATAAAGCAGTCTGGAAGTGTGGTTATCTTATGTGTCTTAGTGCTTTTTAGGAGACTTGTATTTTCTTTATAGATGACAGGTATCTCGAATTTCATCAAGAAAAGTAGGCTTTTTCTTGTGGTCCACCTTCGTGTCTTTTATTTCAGTATATGTTACAATGTCTTTATTCTGCTGCCTATTATCTTCTTCACATTATAATTTCAACACAGACAGATGCACTTTAATTCCCTGTCTTTTGAGGCAGTATAGAGAACTGGCCTTGTATGGTTTTATTATTTACTCTCTCTCCTTAGGGAATTGGTCCATTTTAGCATTACATACAGGCTGAATGTACAAAATGACTTTTGGTAGGTTAATCTGAGAAATCTGACTGAAGTTTATCCTAATTAGGTAATGTTTGTTGAAATAATTTGGAAGCAGTTAGCTGTCCATTCTTCAGTGTTTTTGCATCTTTATTTTACTGATGAAAAATTCAACTTGTACTCATTTTTTTTGAAGAAGAAAAAGCAACCTCAGCTATAGCTCACTTATTATTTTATGTGGACTTAAAACAATTGTTTAGCTTTTAAACTTGGTCATTTTTTCTTTTAAATCTGTGAATGGGAATAGCAAATTAATCTTAGAACAAAACTTAATGTCAGGTTCGTTTTTTTAAGTGAGGTGTAGAAAACCCAAACCACCAGCATGTTGAACTAGAGACAACAGGGCACTTACTTCACACCTGTATTGTATTTGAAGCAGAGTTAGGAAAATTTGAAAGTCCATAAATCTTAAGTGGTCTGTGGGTGTTCATTCTGTTCTTAAACCAAAACTTTTAAAAACATTGTAAGAATTGAGAGCTAAGGGGCTTTTAGGATTTCGTGGTGATTTGTTGATTCTGCTCACCCGGACACAGCAGCTGCTTTTGTTAATCAGCAGTTATACCTTCACTAAATTAAAGCCTTTATTTAACCTGGTGTACATGAAGTTCCTTAAAGATCTAATGCTTCCATGTACATTTTCTGTGCTTTTACAGGATTATTATTGCAAATTTAGGTCAGATACATCACAGAAGGCATAAACTATTATTTCGATAGAGGTTATTAGCAGCATGTATACAAATTAGTTTAGATAAATCATGCATTGTCCTACAAACTAGTTATTTCTGGCTTAATGTAATATAGCTCCTGAATTTTTTCCAGCAGCATATTAAAATGGCTAATCAGGTGAATGGTAATGCGGTACAGTTAAAAGAAGAGGAAGAACCAATGGATACTTCCAGTGTAACTCACACAGAACACTACAAGACACTGATAGAGGCAGGCCTCCCACAGAAGGTGGCAGAAAGACTTGATGAAATATTTCAGACAGGTATAATATGCATTTCTTGTTTCTGACTGGTTATGAAAGTGAGGGCAAACCACTTTGAATTTTACAGATTTTTAAGGTTAAATAATACTGACTGTTTCTGATCTGTAGAGCTGAATGTTTGTTACTTTCCCTTCATTGAGGACATATTGGGTTTGACGTTGATACTCTTATTTCATTATTTTGAAGCCTTCTTAGTGTTGAATATGCAGTCTTAGTTGTTTCAGAACAGTACATCAATTTGTCTTAGATTTATCGCCAATTAAAATGTATGTTTCAGCCTACCAAATTTTGCATTTTTTCTTAATCTAAATCAGTCATCATTTTGCTTTTACTTTTCTACTTTTAGCTTCTTAAAGTGATTGCTAAATCAGCTTAGGTCTGATTAGGTGGCATAATAAGAGGAATGGTTAGACTGTATTGTCTGAAATGATAATAAATGTCAGACTTTTTGAGAGTTTGTGGCCTGTCTAGTTTCTAATAGAAACCCACATCTCTCTGTAATTTGGAAGTGTTTGGTTTGTAACAGCTGCTTTTTTTTTTTTTTTTATTTAATCCAGAAGTCCCATTGTTAAGTGCTTAAGCAAATTTGAACATCTTAATATGGTTGGTTGTAAGTGGTTTGAAGTTTTAAAGAGGGAGAGAAATATTTACCCTTAGGGAGTGTTGCTCATAAATAAATGTGTCCTCCTCCTTTGGGGCCATAGATGGAAACTTTCTTCCTCTGTGTTTCGTGTGCCTATCTAGATTCTGAGAGAGAGAGAAATGAATTGTCTCACTCAAAAT